AATAATAATAATAATAATAATAATAATAATAATAATAATAATTGTTATTATTATTATTATTTCTCGTCTATTCTGCTGTCTCCAGGCACTGCCACGTCCACTATCCAGACCGATAAGGAAGACAAAAAAGTCTGGATAGTGGACGTGGCAGTGCCTGGAGACAGCAGAATAGACGAGAAAGAACTGGAGAAGAAAACAAAATACAAAGACCTACAAATAGAAATAGAAAGACTGTGGCAAAAGCAAGCAAGGGTAGTACCAATAGTCATAGGCTCCTTGGGTGCAATCCCAAAACAACTGGAGCACCACTTGAACACTATTGGCATTGACAAATTCGCTATTAGTCAATTGCAAAAGGCGGCCTTGCTAGGAACTGCTTCCATCCTACGACGATACCTGTAATACCATCAAACATCCACATCTGCCTATCCCAGGTCCTGGGTAAGGACTCGATAGGTAGACAAAATACCAAATCCAGTCTGAACATCTGGCTGACTGTGCGATGATCAATAATAATAATAATAATAATAATAATAATAATATAAAGTTGGAAGGGACCTTGGAGGTCATCTAATCCAACCCCCTGCTCAGGCAGGAAACCCTATACCATTTTGGACAAATGGCTGTCCATTCTCTTCTTAAAAACTTCCAGTGTTGGAGCATTCACTGCTTCTGGAGGCAGGTTGTTCCACTGGTTAATTGTTCCAACTGTCAGGAAGTTTCTCCTTAGTTCTAGTAAATATGTAGTAAAACAGAGCTGTAGGGATGGTAGAGAAGAACTGAGAGTTGAGTCTCCTGCTTGGAAGGGATGATTTAACAAGAACATTTTTTTTTGTTAAGAAAGAAAATCCGTGACATATTTTATTTGTTCAAATGATGAGTTTGAAGACTGAGTGCTTTTCAATATGGAATCTCCATAAACAATTTAATATGGAAGTGAAATTGAAGAATACAGAGCTAAGGTTGTGTTTCTACAAATTTGGAGGTCTCGCTTGGTATGCAGAAATGTGTTTGCATGCCTTATCTATACACCAATACACTGAACTGTCATTTTTAAAAATAAAATGACCTGACCTATAAATCTTATGAAGAATGGCGAAAGAAATTAGGAACGTTTAGCTTATTAAAGAGAAGACAGAGGGGAGATGGGATAGCAATCTTGAAATACTTGAAGGGCTATCATTGAGAAAAGGGCATTGATTTACTCTCTGTGACATTAAGGACAGGACAAGAAGCAATGGGTGGAAGCTCATCAGAAGGAGATCAAACCCAGAAATAAGGAGGAATTTTCTGACAGTGAGAACTAGTAAGCTGAAGAACAGTTTGCAGGTGCTCCATTACTGGAGGTTTTCAAGGAACAATTGGACAACCATTTGTCCAAAATGGTATGAGGACTCCTGCATAAGGCAATGGGCTGGACTAGAAGACCTCCAAGGTCCTTTCCAACTCTATGATTCTATGAGTTTCCAGGAGAAATATAATGTTAAGAGCAGTGGTGGTGCAGTGGTTAGAATGGAGAACTGCAGGCTAATTCTGCTGACTGCCAGGTGTTCGATCCTGACCGGTTCAAGGTTGACTCATCCATCCTCCCAAGGTCAGTGAAATGAGGACTCAGATTGTTGTGGGCAATAATGCTGACTCTGTAAACCACTTAGAGAGGACTGTAAAACATTATGAAGCTGTATATAAGTCTAAGTGCTACTGCTAAGTGCTAAGATATTCCTTAAGAAGGAGAAAGAGAGGGAAAGGGAGAGGGGGAAGAGAAGGGAGAGGGAGAGAGAGAAACAGACAGAGAAACAGAAGAAAATAGAGGTGGGACATATTGTACAGGGAGAAAAGAATTTGCTTGATCCAGACCTCCTAAAGATGATGATTTTAATAGATAAGATTTTTTTTAAATCCCATTCTTATTACTTTATAAATAACTCAAGGCAGCAAACATAGATAAAACTCCTTCTTTCTCCTATTTTCCCCACAACTCTGTGTAATAGGTTGGGTTTAGGAATGGGTTTCATGCCTAAAGCGGGACTAGTACTCATAATCTCTTGGTTTTTAGTCTGGTGCCTTAACCATTACACCAAACTGTCTATCAAAATGCTGATGATGATGACAACGGTGGTGGTGATGGTGATGATGATGATGTATTTAATTTCTATGGCTACCCATTTCATCTAAGCAACTCTGGTTGACTCAGTACACTCTTCTTGTAAAAGAGTAACAGCAGGTTCTAAATTAGCAAGATGGTGGACCGAGTCTCACAATATGGCAAAATTCAATGCTTTGGAACATTAACACAGATTTTTAAAAAGGTGAGGCTCGCATTGTGATCTCCCCATCTGCTGTCTTGCCAATTTTGACACATGCACCTGTACAATGGTGCTACTGAAAAGAAGGCAGCTGATGGGCAGATCTGGAATTATGATCACAATGGAAAAGCTTCTAAATTATCAAGTAGCTGCTACAGCAGTTGTGACTATCCTGAAAACATTTGCTGATATGGTCCCTCCCATCCCAATAACTTTTCTATTTTTTTCCTTAGCAAATTTCCAAGAGAAGGCTTATCTTTAGAGTGGCAATATGATAACCTCCTATTTACTAATTCTTGTTCATTAGCATATGAAAATCAAGCAGAAAAGAAAACAAACAGGGCCCTGAGTAATATTACATTTCTATTTAGCTTAGAGACAGATTCTGGGGCATGAGTATTTGCGAGATAGGGGTCCAAACAGTCAAAATGACGACCAGTTGATGAAAGTCCCACCTCATTTAATCTGTGAATGTGTGAAAATAGGCATTTTTGATTCCTCCCACGCATGGACGTCCCTATTCATACCGAGATATGGCAACAAGATAAAAAAGAAAAATGCATTCCTTGTTCTTTTTCACCCTGTGTACCTGCTTTCTCACCACTTCACCGCAATAAAATCGGCTCTTTCATTGTTTACAAAGGTAACACTGTTAGTAATTAAAATTTTTGAAACTCCAGCATGCACTATTTTGTTTCAAAAGCCTGCATTCAAATTTCTCTGCACCACTGAAGACACAAAATCAGTACATATGTGCATAACTGGTAATGAATTCAATTCAATCAGAATAGAGCTGGAAGGAACCTTGGAGGTCATCTAGTCCAACCCCCTGCTCAAGCAGGAGACCTTATACCATTTGAGACATGTGGCTGTCCAGTCTCTTCTTAAAAACCTCCAGTGATGGAGCACCCATGACTTCTGAAGGCAAGCTGTTCCACTGGTTAATTGTTCTCGCTGTTAGGAAGTTTCTCCTTAATTCCAAGTTGCTTCTCTCCTTGATTAATTTCCATCCAGGTGCTTTGAAGAAGAGGTTGACCCCCTCTTCTTTCTGGCAGCCCCTCAAATACTGGAATACTGGTATCATGTCACCTTTAGTCCTTCTTTTCTCTAGACTAGCCATGAATTTTTCCTGGAATCTGCACTCTAATGTATTTATTTTTAATTGCATATTTTTAGTGAAGCAAATGTTGGACACCTGCTATCTGTTTATAGTTTTGGAAGTGCAAAGGATTCATTAAATCGATTGTTTAATTAAAAGCATTAAATAATTGCACTCCAACAAATTTATTTGGTTTGGCCAATACAAATTGGGTCTGTTCTTGTTAAAAAGGGAACTACAAAGGCATTGTCTGTATATTAGTGGACTCCAAAAGTGGTAAATGAACACTCCAGGACTATGCAAGATGACCCACTGGAGTGCAGGAAGAAAATATTGGAACATCTATTTAATTATTTTTATTTTTAAAAAATAAAGTGGCACTAATGCTTAGTATATAGAACGTACAAAATAAAATACATGTATATTTGGAGATACATTTCACAAGGTATGTATACTATGTATATTTCATACACATGTTAGTACAGTAGTACATTTATATAATTTATAAATAAATAAATTCAATATTTTGAAATACGAGTTCTTTGTTTTTTTGTACTGATGCATGCGTGTAGCGATAAAAGTTTTAAAAAACACTTCCTATTTAACAATCAGGTTCAGATTTCAGGCTGATAGCTGTCCCTGAATAACAGCCATTTTACTGTCGTGACTGGATCAGAACAAATCTATGTAATCTAATCTATCATTAGAGTTCTGTGGTCTGAACAGAATCCAGACATTTTCCTCTAAGGAGAATTTAAAAATCTGTCTTTTTTAAATGCCAGGCAATATAAGAAGAGTACATTAAACAAGTCAGATCCGAGTGGCAGGAATGCAATTTGCTTTTTAGTCTTCAGTATCTGCCACTACTGAGGGGCAGTCAGAGAGAAGAGGGGGACAACTATTTTCCAAAGCACCTGAAGGCCAGACAAGGAATAATGGATGGAAACTGATCAAGGAGAGATTCAGCTTAGAAATAAGGAGAAATTTTCTGACAATCAGAACAATTAATCAGTGGGACAGAAGTTGTGGGTGCTCCATCACAGAGGTTTTTAAAAAGAGACTGCACGACCATCTGTCAGAAATAATGTAGGGTTTCCTGCTTGAGCAGGGGGTTGGACTAGATGACCTATAAGGTACCTTTCAACTCTGATTCTATTCTATTCTATTCTATTCTATTCTATTCTATTCTATTCTATTCTATTCCTTCCTTTCCTCTCCATAATCACATCTCTGTCTTAGTAGAAATAATTAAATATATCCCTTTCAAATGAAAGCAGAGGGCTGGTTTGGTATAATGGTTAAAGGAACCGGGCTAGAAACCAGCATATGTTGAGTTCTCCTCCTGTCTTAAGCATAGAAACCACCTCTTTCAGCTCTAGGAAGAAGATGGCAATGGTGAACCACTCCCAGCTGTGTAGACTTATCCATGTAGTTGCCAGGAGTTAAGGCTGACTCAAAGGCACCACAGACAGAGAGGGAAAAAAGGAGAGCATCAACTACATAGTCTTGGAAATTGGCATCCAGAGCCTTCAGGATAGGCCACTTCTATTGTTCAAGAACAAAACCTTTGGAAGAAAAAGAAGAAGAAGCCCTACCTGAAATCCATATATGGAAACAAAGCATCAAGAGGAAAAAGATGTTCCTGAGACAATATTGAACCGAGTGAAGTTTCCAGTCCATGGTTCTTGCCTCAAGGCCAGCTTTTCGACTTGTGCCCTGGGAACCCGTCTGCTTCTGAAACTGGGTGCCAACTGTGGCGTGTGGGGCTAACTCTGGAGAAGGCAAATCTATTAGCTTAACAAGCTGACACACCCTGGGCAGAAGCATCAATCAATCGCTCAGCCAAGCCCTTAACTGAAAGGATTTCATAATATTGCACAGAACTCTCATGAAGGGTCAGCCTCTGCAAATATTTTTGCAAGTGAGAGGAAAAGAAAAGAAGAATTAAGGTATGAGAAACGTCACGCTAATGAAACTGGGACTCCTGGCCCATTTGCAGTGTTCACCAGGGAAGAAGCAACATGAACCCTTCAGCCACAGCTGCTCAGGTTATATTGCACCAAATCATTTCTAAATTTCTTTCTTAAAGTATTATAAGATTTAGACCTGGTTACTAGAGCATATTTTTAATATTATCTGTTAGACCAGTGTTTCTCAACCTTGACAATGTTAAGGCATGTGGACTTCAACTCCCAGAATTCCACAGCCAGCAATGCTGGCTGTGGAATTCTGGGAGTTGAAGTCCACATGCCTTAACATTGTCAAGGTTGAGAAACACTATGTTAGACTCTTTTGAAGCTATTGGGAGATTTTTCTGGTATTTCCAGCTACGATCACGAAAATGTCAGAGTTAATGAAAAATGTAAATGCAGGATAGTTAATCAATACAGAATCAATTTTCTTACTCCCTTTATAAGAAGACAAGATCCAGGAATGTGGAATGCCCCTCCTCTGAAATTACTCCTGGAGAATATCCATAAAATTATTAAATTCATTCTGGCAAGTACCAGAGTAGAAAAAGGAAGACTAGTTGCCTTTCCTTTGCTTTCTATAAAATCATTCTTAGGGCATGTGATGCCTAATCAATGAATGTCCAAGTAGAACATTTTTAATTCTTTATTTATTCATTAAGGCAAAATGACAACCAAAATAAATAAGTCAGATATTGCATGATGGGTTGGAGGGTGTATATGTGGTGTATTTAATAGGCCAGTATATTAGTGCAGTACCTGCCAGGAGCATCTGCTCAGATGGTGTTGACCTTGTGAGGTAGCAACTCACACGCAAGAAGCAACTCCAGATGAGCTAATTCTACTTTAACATAAGCTCAAATTAACAGATATGTGCAAGTCTGAAAGCACGGGTAGTCCTTGGCTTACAACCATAATTGAACCCAAACTTTCTCCTGCTGAGACATTTACTAAGTGAATTTTACCCCATTTTATGACCTTTCTTGACCCATTTCTTAAGTGAGTCACTGCAGTTGTTAAATTGGTAAGATGGCTGTGAAAGTGAACCTGGCTTCCCCATTGACTTTGCTTGTCAGAAGGTCACAAAAGGGGATCGCAGGACACCGGGACACTGTAACCGTCATAAATATGAGTCAGTTGTTCAAGCATATGAATTTTGATCACGTAGCCATGGGGTTGCCACAATGGTCATAAGTGTGAAAAATGGTCATAAGTCACTTTTTTCAGTGCTGTTGTAACTTTGGACAGTCACTAAATGAACTGTTCTAAGTCAAGGACCATTTCTACATTTCTCCTCCATCATTTTTACACCCCAAGAAACTAGAGAGGGTCCTTTCTGAGCATTTTGCCATTCCTTTGGCAGACTAAGCTGCCATTTATCTGACCGTTCCCCCGACTGTGGCGCTCCCTCCTGTCTCCCAAGGTCATTCCCGCCTACCACTACCAATGGTGTCTGGAATCAAAGTGGCAGGAGGGATTTTAGAATTAAAGCCTTGCCCCTTTGGTGGGTATCATAAAAAGACAGGAAACCCTATACCAGGGTTAGGCAACCTTGGCTCCTTTATGACTGGTGGACTTCAACTCCAGAATTCCTGAGTCAGCATGTAAAAAAGATATTGAGACTCTAGAAAGAGTGCAGAGAAGAGCAACAAAGATGATCAAGGGGGTTGGAGGCTAAAACATATAAGGAACGGTTGCTGGAATTGGGTATGTCTAGTCTAATGAAGAGAAGGATGGGGGGGGGGAAGATAGCAGTGTTCCAGTATCTCAGGGGCTGCCCCAAAGAAGAGGGAGTCAAGCTATTTTCCAAAGCACCTGAGGGCAGTACAAGAAGCAATGGATGGAAACTAATCAAGGAGAGAAGCAACCTAGAACTAAGAAATTTTCTGACAGTTAGAACAATTAACCAGGGGAACAACCTGCCTCCAGAAGCGGTGAATGCTCCAACACTGGAAGTTTTTAAGAAGAGATTGGACAGCCATTTGTCTGAAATGGTATAGGATTTCCTGCCTGAGCAGAGGGTTGGACTAGATGATCTCCAAGGTCCCTTCCAACATCATCATCATCATCATCATCATAAAATTGGAAGGGACCTTGGAGATCATCAAGTCCAACCCCCTGCTCAGGCAGGGAAACCCTATACCATTTCGGACAAATGGCTGTCCAGTCTCTTCTTAAAAACTTCCAGTGTTGGAGCATTCACCGCTTCTGGAGGCAGGTTGTTCCACTGGTTAATTGTTCTAACTATCAGGAAGTTTCTCCTTAGTTCTAGGTTGCTTCTCTCATTATTTATTGATGATGGTGATTAAAAGAGTTGGGACTTTGGTCACCCTGTTGCAACAGCCATTTGTCCATCTGATTGTCCAACTACAAAAACAGGATCTCACTCCTCACATGAGTGGGCAATTCTCCTCACATGAGTTGACTGGCGACTTTGTAAAACTACATTCATGTGGTTTTCTTAACAACAATAGGAAATAATTCATCAATGCATTCCTCTAAGGTGTTTGTCACTTCAGTCTAATCCTACAGCCCTGGGATTCCTTAGCCTTTTATCTAGCACAATATTAACAAGGTGTAGCCTACTTTAGTATCTCAGCCCAGGTGAGGTCAGGTTGAAGCTGCTACTTCTTGGACTCCTTGACAAAGGATTCATTGTTGATTTACTTAATAATATATCTTTCCTGCTACTTCTCATCTTTAAAACCATTCTAAAGCAAAATTACAGAAGTCAGTAAAAGCTTATGCTGGAAGATATTCCAACACTTTTAAGGAAACAGATTAAGAGTATGTTGTTGTTATTGTTAATTGCGAAGTTGTGTCCAACCCATCGCGATCCCATGGACAACGTTCCTCCAGGTCTTCCTGTCCTCTACCATCTTCTGGAGTCCATTTAAGTATAACAAGTAATAACAAGAACAGCATGGCTTCAACCAAAATTTTTGGTTAAAAAAAAAAAGAAACTTTTTAACTGCTGCCAACTTCTGCCCTAATCCAAAAGGCACTTTTATGACCAATACTCTCAATACCTGGAGTTGAGGAAGGTTAGGTGGCAAAGCAGTTTTGTCCCAACCTCCTCTATCCCAATCTCATGTTCTCCTTTTGATACAATTCAAGACAGCCCCAACCCATTCGTCAAAGTGAATGAAATTGTCAAAAACCCCATTACATCTGGAGGTTCCTTGGGACCTGCTGTCTAAGCAGTCTAAGAGCAAGTGACATTTTTTTTGTCTTCCCAAACTAAGTTGGGTTCACACTTCAGCAGGTCCATTAAAACCCTACTGAGGCAGCCATACCACGGGACAATCAATGTTTGTTCATTTTGGAACAATTTCTGTGGCTTAAGATACACTCCAGAATCAGTCTGGTAGCAGGCAGTATATAAAAAAGATGTTGAAACTCTGGAAAGAGTGCAGAAAAGAGAACAAAGATTATTAGAGGGCTGGAGACTAAAACATATAAAGAATGGTTGCAGGAATTGAGTATGTCTGATCTAGTGAAAAGAAGGACTAGGGCTGACACGATAGCTGTGTTCCAATATCTGAGGGGCTGCCACAAAGAAGAGAGAGTCAACCTATTTTCTAAAGTAACCTGAGGAGAGGGTAGGACTAGAAGACCTCCAAAGTCCCTTCCAACTCTGTTGTTCTGTTATTCAACCAAACAAGATGTTGAAACTCTGGAAAGCGTGTAGAGAAGAGCAACAAAGATGATTAGGGGACTGGAGGCTAAAATATATAAAGAATGATTTCTGGAATTGGGTATGTCTATTTTAATGAAGAGAAGGACGAGGGGGGGACATGATAGCAGTGTTCCAACATCTCAGAGACTGCCCCAAAGAAGAGGGAGTCAAGCTATTCTCCAAAGCACCAGAAGGCAGGACAAGAAACAATGGATGGAAACTAATCAAGGAGACAAGCAAAATTTCCTGCAGAACAATTAACCAGTGGAACAACCTGCCTCCAGAAGCTGTGAATGCTCCAACATTGGAAGTTTTTAAGAAGAGATTGGACAACCATTTGTCTGAAATGATATAGGGTTTCCTGCCTGAGCAGGGGGTTGGACTAAATGACCTCCAAGGTCCCTTCCAACTCTATTATCCCATCCCATCCCACCCCACCCTACCCCACTCCACTCCATTCCATTCTATTCCATTCTATTCTATTCTATGGCAGCTGGTTTAACACCGATATATAGCTATACTGTACATAATTTAATTTCCAAGTCATACTTGGAGGCAGTCCCACACACAAGGAATTACAGTAAAATGAATGGAATATCTAAATATGAAGAAATAAAAATTCAAGTATATTATGAAAATGCTGCTTTGCTTTTGATTCTCTGCTTTGTGCAAGCCCAAGAAATGGATTAATTCATAAATCACACTAAACGCATAGTGTGAGCACAGCCATGGAAATGCTGAGGGAGAGCCGATGTGGGAAATTGTGGGGAGGTTGTGAAAAATATAGAAGGGAGAAGAAACATAAACAATGAAGAAAAGGAAAGTGAGCCTGCTGGCAGCTTATAAAGAGCAACGTAGCCCAGGTGGGGAGAAATCTGAGAATAAGTATCTCAAAAAATTCAACAAAATTCTGCTACAATAAGCTCACTAGAAATAAAAGGTGAGACATTCTTCCTTTAGTTTCCAAGATTCTGCATTGGTCCTGGATGTGCATTAAAGATCCTTTACAGATAAGGCATTAAACTACAGAGAACTGAAAGCTGCCTTTTGTACTTAACAGCCTAAGTCCTGCACAAAGAGAA